ATTGAAAACGTTCTTTCGCCTAAATTGAATTCCTGAATGCTTAAATGAGTCTCATCGCTGAAATATTATGCATCACTGCACGCAAAGTACTAGTTTGTGACTATTTAATCATCTGCCTAAATAAGCTAAAGAAATACTACCTAGGCTGTTATTATGGCAAGTTACAGCAGAAATATTACCGCTGATACAAATTATCAGCTGGCAAATTCACGTGAAATTTATTGGCTGTTTTTAGTCTGCCGAGAGCCAACGCGTTCCACGCGATTTGGGTCAGCCCGACATGTCGACAGTCGTTTCTTAATGATGTCCACTGAGGGCTTACTCCATCCTCATGATCGACATTGTGTTTGTTTATGGGATGACTTATCGCAGGGGGGTAATTTACTTAAACCCTAGCAACCGCGATCTTCAAGTCCGGTTCATAAATAGAAAAGAAGTTATGGGAGGCCAGAGTGAAGGGAACAGATTATTCTGTACAGAAGGAAAATAGAATAGGTAGTAGAAAATCGACTGTCAGACGAGCGCGTAGCCGCATGCCACAGGGGCGCGTTTGAGATGAGGTGACCGAGGGAATCGCAACAGCATCTGCAGCGGCCTTTTTATGAGTTGGCCTTGACAGGGGATTGGCTAGACATACGGGCGTAGGCGGCCAGTACATGTGCACTCGTGAGCAGCGGCGAGCCTTCGCGTAATGATTGTCTGCGCACAGTGAGTCGCCACAGACTGGCTAAAGGAATGAGAGTTCAACGGCTTTTTCTCAGTGTGGCCTCTGTGGCACTCTTCTCAACAGGGGATCCAAACCGTCCAATATCCTTTTGTGAAACCCTGGTCTACTTTATGCGGACCAGGTTGGCTATGGTCCATGTAGACGAGCTGTTTAATTTTTTACCTAACACTACATCTGATCCCCCCTCTGTTCATCTTGACTCTTTTTTGCCATCGAGCCCAGGTGAGGGTGGGATGAAAGAGTGCGGCAGATACTACTTAAATCAGCAATGATAGTAGTTTCATTCACCTGCAGCTCGCTGTCTGCGCCCAAAAACACAGGATAAATGGCGGACATCGTTGTAGGTTACGTTCTAAATGACGCATTTCCATCTAGTACACCGTCTTGTTTACGGTAGCTCACAGCAGTTAGGTTTCGCTCTCTTCTTTATTCAATTTTCATGGAACGATTTTGTTACAACACAATACTTGGTTTTGAACCGTTCTATCCCATCCAAACTGACAACTAACGTTCTCCTGGGGGAATTTTTAAAATCATTTGGTTAAGAAGAAGAAGACGCGACCACTGGAACAAGAGCTTTATTTTCCTGACGTTTCGGTTTCCCGACGGAATCCATCGTATTGGAGCCAAACTGATCATTCTCGTGCAATCGGTTCGCCGACAGTCGTGTGACTGACATTACAACCCCATACTTAATACAGCCAAATTGAGTTAGCTTGTTTCTGCATGAGAGCATTGTAGTGCGATTTACCAACATAATACTTGTTAGGGGCCAACCTAACCGACTAGCTCGCACGCAGCCCTGGCGACTCGTCCCCACGCCACGCTATCTATCCACCCACGTGCAGTGCACGTGATAACGCGCAAGTTGCGGCCACGGTTAGGAATCTACATCGCCAGTCGGATGACTCAGAAAGCCAGTCAAGCTCTTATCCTCTTGAGGACAGTATCTG